AGTCTATAAAGTCCATTAGATCTCAATTTCTGGTGAATTTATGTCTGTATAGTGTTTTTTAGTTTTTAAATATTTGAAATTTTTATTGGTAAACTCTTCAAGCTCTCCAAGAGACTGTGATTTCTATTTTATTAAAATTTTGTTTAATTAAAAGCATAGTTTTAAAATTTAAATCTTGAAATTTTTAAAAAAAAACAGCATAACTTTAAAATTCCTGATAGTGTGTCAGAGGTTGCTATACGCTTTATTTTTATGTTTGCTGTATTATTTCTTTGAAAACTAACTGTTTGAGCGGCCATTAACGTATCATAAAAAAGAAAAAATATGTAATGATTTTAATGAGTTCAGTGTCATTTCATAAAATATTTGATATTTATAATTAGAAATTTTATGATTTAAATACATTTTGTTAAAATCAGTCAGATTAAAAATTAGAAAAATATTTTTTAACTTTTTTTTTTTTTTATTTATTCCTTTTTAGTCACTTGGTTTGCTGCTGAATAACGGAATGATTAAATTTGAAAGTTAAATAGCTTACACTTTACTGAGTGGCAGCATACTGGGTCTTAGAACCAATATATATTCTAATTGAGCCAGTGGCAGTACATTGCTTTTAAATAGTTGAATTTGCGGATTAAAATTGAATGACGAATATCTTGCTTTTTCCTAAATGGCAGCAGTCTCCTGTGCGGAAGATAAAAATGTTTTTGCTTTAAAATCCCTGAGTTTGATAAATAAAAGTGCATTAAACTTTTAGAATTTGCGAAATAGATCAAAAACAGATAAGGGATTTAGGCTTATATGATTATGTTTGGGTAGAGGACTGTGTGTGTTAAAAATTTGTTGGCTGAAGGTGCATATTTTTTCCACAGTACAAGGAGCATATATATAAATTCTTCGTTATTTGATTTATTTAAAAAATAATATATTGTGACAACATTGGTGGTAACAATTTGAAAAGTGATTTAGATACAAAAGGGATATGGCTGTCCTTATCCTTTTTGTGAGTTTCGAAAACTTGTAGCACCTCCGGTGCTAGTAACTCTGAAACTCTTGTGCAGTTAAGAGCTGCCATGTATACTGTGGCAGGTTTGCTATCTGCTAATTTGGGTCCACCTTCTTTGGATGTATAATGTCAAGGAACATCATTTAAAAAAAGGAGGGTGATGGATTTTGTTAATATCATCTGTTGAAATATAACTATTGACTCCTGATCATTGACAGTAGCACTGATTCTTATACCACAGTCGTGAAACTCAGACTGTAATGCAATAGAATCAGCTGTTTTATTTATAATCATAGTTTTCAGTTAGCTTGGACGATTGGAGAATTTATCGTAGCTTACACTGTTCACTGCACATCAGCATTGGTGTATGCATCATGTTTGGCATTAATATTGTTGTAAATATTTTAAATCCTTTTTGATTTTATATATTGTTTTCTTTCTTTCTTTATTTATTGTTTTTAGAATGGCAGTTTTATGGTTTATTTCATGTTTAATCTAATTTGCGTCTAATTTCTTTCAGGCGGTGTCATAATTTCATGTTCATAAAACTTCTGATTTTTGTCATGGGTGGGGGAGAAGGGGAAAAAAACTGATTTAGATGAGATTTTGCATCATTAAAAATTTTACCATTCAAGGAATTCTGCATGGGACAAAATAATTTGAAATATGAAGTTGACAGGTCAGTGCTATGTACTGGATGAGACAGCACATCCCAGCCTGTCTCTACCATTTGCCAATTTTGGCCACTTTTCTTGAACTGCATCACTCAGTTTGGTGAGTTGTTAAACATATCACCAGAATGAAATTTGGCAAACCAGTTAGCCTTTCTTTCAAGACTTCTTTCCCATATATGGCACATAACTTTTTGTTTGCTTGCAATGCATTCCTCCTTTTTTGGAAATAATACAATAAAATATGCATATTTTATTCTTCCATTTTTAAGTTGGGATAAAAATGAAACTGACTAATCGATACAATTTTCTTGCTAATTAAAGTGGAAGTCCAAGTAATGAAAACAGTATAGTTTGGGTGCTTTGAACACGACAAAACAAAAGAATGTGCCAAAATCATCTATTAATCATTTAATTGCCAATCCCATAAAAGTCTTAAAGGGTTATAATGAACTAGATTAGAATTAATATAAAAGATAAGTTTTATAACTATGAAAAGCTTTTGTGGAAATCCACTTCACTAAAAAAAAAAGTATGGATAATTGTCGCAGAACCAAAGCCAAAATTTTGATTAAGTCACTAACTATGATCCACAGTTGAAGGAATTTCTATTTTTCTTTTTCAGACATAAAATTGTATTAGTTTTTCACATTTCATTACTGTTTTCCTGTGACGAGTGGTGATCTCTACCCATTGCTATTAATATAAAAATTTTGTCAGTCCTCCCATTTATGCAATGATTTTATTTTTCATCTGAAGGAGATGGGATCTATACCTGATCAACTTTAAAAACAATAATGTATATTCATTATTGTTTTTAAAGTCTATGTCAAACTAAAAACTAGGGGTTTTTTTTTGGGGGGGGCCTAATTTTAAAGTTTGCAGTCAGTTTGATTTTCTTTCTTTACTTACACTTTTAAATATATAAAAGAAATAAGGAACATTTTTGAATCAAAGAAGTGTCTGGATATGTAGGAATATGTTAATAGCACTTCTCTTACTGATATACTATTATGTTTATTTACATTTATTTAACAGAAAATCGGCTATTGATTCTTGGTTTTTAACGATGGCTTCATGCTAGCATTCCTATTTAACTTTATCAAAAAATTGATGATGATGCAATAAATCAATGTGACCAAAGCAACTTAAATATAATATTTTTATAAGTACTGTACTTCTTTATGTGCTTTTTGCAGATTTAATTTTTACATCGAAACATACAAGATCATATTTATTAGAAGAGATAGTCTATTCTGCCAAATAAATTGAGCCAGTTAATATGTTGAAAAGTGCATTAAAAAATCTAAATTTTCACACAGCTCCTAGAAGAATGTATTGTATTGCTGGTGTTAATTAAATTTTTAGTATGTAAGAAATAAAAAAATCCAGAATTAATACAGAATTGCTTTTACTGTAAAATGGGTTTAAACTTGATAGTACATCAAAACTTGAAAAGTTAAACATTTAAGCAGTAGTTATGCAATATAAGTGAGGAACTAATTTATAATGTGGGGTATCTTGTCATGTATAGCATTCACATAATGTATACATGTATAGCTTTCGCATAATGTAGGTATTATATAAGGTTTTATACAAAACTTGTTAAAAAAAGTGCTTGAAATTTACTAACTAGCACTGATAAGATGTATGAAGGAATCAGCATGTTCATATACATGTAATAAAGTTACACTCTGAGATTTAAAGGAAACAATTCTGAGTCATTGTACATAGCCATAATGTAATTAAAGTATTGTTTCGTGCGTATGGGTTCGTAAGAGATTGAATGTACACAGGTCTGATGATAGGTTGATAAAGTTTATTTTATCAAAAGAAACACTTCAGAGTTCTGGAACTTTCTGCAAAAACAGTTATACAACTCTTCGTGGTATTACAGAATACAATCAGTAGCAACACCTTAAACTACTAAGAAAGTTAAATATAGCGCAGTGCAAAATACATCTGAATTGCGAAGCTAACATCTCAGTACTCCAAACTCACTATTCCTATTTCTAACTACTGAGAGCAGATGCTCTATTTGGTCTTATGTAGTTTTACTCAGCTGCTGAGATATTTCTAATACTTTCTGCTTCTCGAAATTACTGGGAGGCATATGAAGGCCGAATTACGGTTACAGCTACACAGGGCATCAGTTACAATATCCATTACAGTTATACAGGGACCAAACCAAATGGTTGCCAAGTTTGGCGACTTTTGACTATTTCTCACCAAATTTGGTGACCAAACATTAGTCGCCAAAACTGTTGCCAGCTTGATGATCTTTCGCCAATTTAGCGAGATAGCCATTTTCTCAATGTTAAATAGACTTGCCCATGTATTCTTACTATTCTGGCAAGCTTTGCATATCTAGATTTTTATGTTACATTATATAGAAAGAAATACAAACATTTTGCATATCTTCTTCAGTTGCACTACAGCCTATCACAGGGCAAGGCTGTCTCAAGCTTCTTCCAACAAATCCAATTAGTTGCTATGGTCTGCCAACAATTAAAGGTTTGAAATCTGCCTCCACACAGTCTTTCCATCTTGTTCGAGGTCTTCCTCTTTCCCTAGAACTCTTTACATTTGCAAAGGTCACCATTTCAACAGGGTTCAAGTTGTCACATCTAAATATATATCCAAGCCACCTAATGAAAAGATTTGATGACTTTGACATGTTTGTATCTTCTATATATTTCATGGTTAAACAAAATTCTCCACCTATTATTTTCTCTAAATGGGCTGTATATTTTTTGCACAATTCTTTTTTCAAAGATTAGAAGTCTTTCTTCATCTAATCTTGCTAATGGTCAGCATTCACTACCATGCAATATGATAGGATTAATAAGAGTTGTATAAAGATTTATTTTTGTCTTGAAGTTTAATGAATTAGACATTAACAAATTCTTTAAACCATGATAACATCCATTAGCTGTAAATAATCTATTGAATTTCACACATAATTGCACTAAAATCATCCATCTATGTACAAAATTTGTAACAGTATGGCTTTAAAAAAAATAAATACTAAATATACTGCTTTTTTAAATTCTGCATTTTGAAGAATAATGTGCCTGTGTATACTTTTAGTGTATAAGCACTCTTCTGAATCAGATAAAAGTAGATGTATCATAAATATGTCAAGTAAGTGAGTTTCTTTTATATTTTGGTACTTGCTGACCATTTGTTGAGTCTGTCACCGTTTGCGTATGGTTTGCATAATGTATCAATTAATTAAGCATAAATTTGCATAATGTGTTTTTATTTTATTAAATATATTGGTTAATTGTTGTTATTACTTTTCTTGATATTCTCTTTATGGTATTTTTTTTCCTTTGCAAAATTTGTATTATTTCAGATGACACCAGCACCCAGAAAAAAGAATTCACACAGACGAGAAACAGGAGATAATCAACAAACATTTAAAAAAAATTTCAAATCAAATTCAGAAACTAATGTAATTGAAAATAAAGATACTGTGAATATTCAAGAAGTATGTTCAGATACTAGTAAGGAAGGGAAAAGATATGCTAAGAGAACCGTTGAAAGCAATTGGTCTAAATATGAAGAACCTGCCATAAATCCGTTAGCTGATCAATTGCGGGGAGTTGATTTTGAAGTAGCTTTGAGCTATTCCGGAGGTTCTGAATCTCAGTTGCAGTTACAAAATGAGAAAGATTGGGATGATATAAGTAGCTATGAAAAGTATGTTGCTATAGATTTTCAAGATTTAGCACTGGCAATAAAGTGCATTCCTTTCCATAACAGATTTAATTTGCCTGAGGATATTTTTAATGAACAACAAGTATCAGGTTTTTGTGCTAGTGCGGCAGGTTCAAGAAAATTATATGAAACAAATCTGTCAAATGTTGGGAAAAAGCTAGTAGAAATTCAACCTGTGGAAAGCCAGAATCTCATTGAAAGCTGTGAAGCAGAAGAAATAGAAGATAGTATTACCAAACCGTTTGCAATAGAAGAGAAAACAGAAAATATGTTAGAATCATTAGCTTCCACTTTATCATTGAAGAATTGGATACAAGAAACAACTGATAATGTAAATATTAAACCAAAGGAAGAAACTTCAAAGGCTGCTGATGATTTAGATTTCCTGCTATCCTTAAGCATTACACCAAAAAGTGTAGTGAATGATGAAAAGGTTATCGAAAAAAAGAGTCCAAATGTTGATGACTGGTTGAACAGTATTCTTGATGATTAACAGAGAAATAAATTTTTGAAAAGTACATTTCTCATATAGTCTAATGGAGCAATTGTATTATTGGAAAAATATTTAATGTTGGCATTTATATAAAATGATATTTAATAAATTATTGATGATAAAATATCTGTTTCATTTTCTGCATCTGTGCATTGATCACCTTTAAGGATTTTGAAGAACTGTTGGAAACCTATTTTATATAATTTACTTCATAATTTGTGTGTAATAATTTACTAAACTGGAACTGTAAAAATGTATGGTTTTCACTATTGTTAATATATTTTTTAAAGAAAAATATACACAATACAAGGCAAATTAGGGAGCAAAATATGTTTCATAAAAGCAGAGCTATATATTTAAAATAAAATACTTAAGTATTCAAGATTCTTATTTAGTTTTTATTTAGTTATGAACTATTTTACTCCATAAAACAAATTGAATAGGTAATTTCATTTTCATTACTTTGTTGAATTTTACATCGTTTTCATAGTTTCATAGTCTGGAGGAAAGCATACATGAATGCATTGAAATCAGAAAAGTTAGTTTTTGACCCTGCCATACTTTCCCAAAAAGTATTTTTGAGAATTAGGCATTTCCAGAAATATTATTACCTGAAAAAAGTAATGCTGTTATTGGAGGTATCACAGAAACAAGAATCAGCATAATATTAAACTGGTTTCTCTAACCTTAAAACCTCCAATAATTGCTATTCAGCTGCTGCTTTTTTTTTTAAACTCGTCCTGAAGTGCTGATTAAAAAACTGCTTATTGCATATGAGGAAGCAAAAGTATATGTAAAGATAAATGGATTTTTACTAATAAGAGATTTTGTGAAATACTGATAAAAGATATCAGTGGTATAAAACTGGTAATGGTATATGGAACTTAATATGAGGGTCGCACCAGAAGTAATGCAAAAGTTAATATAGTCAAAAGTCGTTAATCCGGACTCGTCGGGACTTCGGCGATTCCGGATTATCGATTTTTCCGGATTATAGATCATCAGTTTAATCTCGTAAGATGGCATGCAGAAATTATAAAATTAAAAATATGAAACCGTAATTTATGAAATAAAGAACAATTATGATCTAAAGGGTATCAAAATTTGCAAAAAGAAAAAGCTTAATATTTATTTGTTTACTTAAATAAACATTTCTTTCAATGTAAGTTGTTTAAGTTTTGCTTCGTTTCATGTGATAATACTTTCTCTTTAATTCTATTAAACAGACATAATTTCTTGTTCAGTTACAAAGTTCCGCTGTTCAAGTCCTATAATTGCTGTGTCAAGAACACCGACTAATTTGTCAATCGAAATTTTTTCGTTTTCAATAACCTCTGTTACTTTCTTCGCTATCGGAAGCGAATTATAATGACGAGGAACTTGTTTTAAATCATATCAAAGACGGAGCATATCGAGATGAAATACTACATTTGGTAAGGAATTATAAGCCAAATAAAATAAAAACATCTGATCTTCAATTATAAGCCAAATAAAATAAAAACATCTGCCCTGAAGATAAGGATAGTGCTGACAGATAACTTCCAATTCATTACGCGCCCGCCGCGCGGCGTTCCCCCCCGCCGAGCAGCGTGAAATTGATAAACAGATTTCGGATTTCAAAACATACTTTCGCTTTAGATCCTTTACATATTAACAAATATATATCGGAAATTCTATTTGATATAATCGAAAGTTTAAGCTTACTTTTATAGAATTGCTCTTACAGTCTGAAAAAAATAATAAGCCGGATCCAATTCGAAAATTAAGGAACAACGCAATTATCAACATTAACTGAAATAGATAATTAGATAATTTTAGCTTATACGTCCATTATACATAAAACGCGCACGCGAAAACGTATTCTGCACTTGCGCACACTCATATGCGCAGTCGTAAAAGGTCTTACGCACACGCGTAAACGCCTATGCGCATGTGTCAACGCGGCGCATGCGCACACTCATATGCGCAGTCGTAAAAGGTCTTACGCACACGCGTAAACGCCTATGCGCATGTGTCAACGCGGCGCATGCGCAGAAAGTTTTTAGTTTTGAGGTCCGGATTATAGATCATTCCGAATTATGGGTGTTCGAATTAACGACTTTTGACTGTATTTCTTTTTTTAATAAACTGGCATTAATGACTTCCCTGTATAGGAAAATATTACGTCACGTATTTTTCATTATAAACAATGTCCAGTCTTTGAATGTAAATCACTTATCTTCAGAAAAAATCAGAGTATATCATTATCGTGGTGAATATCAATCATACTGAAATTACTTTTTAGTTTCTTTTACTTTCATGAAGATTTTAGAGTGTCAGAATTTGCCACCTGCTGGTCACAGTATAGTCATACTCCAAAATATCAATAAGAATGATTCTGTTATAAAGCTAATAACATTTTAATACTAATTGCTAGTTCTTCAGCATTTTAATCTTATTTAAGAGAGGAATGCCATTCCTTGGACTAGATTCTTCATCTGTAAATCATAAAAGTATATGCTTTTATTTTATCCTTTTTCATAAAATTGGAAAACACTCATATTTATCAGCTTTGAAAAATTATAAGTCACTGCAAATGACAATTCCCCCCCCCTCTCATATCGGTTTTCACTTGCCAAGGCAGCCATTTGTACAGCTTTAAGGTAACATAAGTCTTCCACTAGCTTTTATCTTGCTTTGCACAGAAACCTTATGAATTGTTCTTCCAAATTAATTCTGTCATCAGTTGAAGATTAGTATTCCTGACTACATTTGAGGGCCTGTCATTGCATGGTTTGTTTTCAGTGGTGATTTCCTGATTCCTTTAACTTCAATCAGTCTATGCATCATTTATCTGTGCTCATTGCTGTTGTCAGTGATATCATCTCTGGAAAGATTCTCTGTCTAGTGTCTTGTGGATGTTTTGAGTCTGTAGAATTTTTAAAATCAGGAATTTAATGATGGCATATTATTTATGCTTTTATATTCATTATTTATTTGCAGCGAAGAAAGCTGTTACACATTTCTATATACTCCAACATTATGTAGAATATGTTAGATCTAGACAGTTCATATAAAATTGGCTGATTTTCGCATCACTTTCAGTAAAACTTATATTTAACAAGATGATTGAGAAAACATTGATTATACATGCAGCCATTTCATTTATAGAAATCTGTTTTTAATAAGGCATGTAGAGTCAGATCATAAAATTAAATTTGCTGAAATATTATACAAAGAATAAATTAGTGGTGTTGTAGAGACTGATGTGTGATAAAGTACAAGTTTTAAGCCATTTCAAACACTTAATAAGGAAAGGTTGATTAAACCTAAAAGCGAACAGTTTCCTCCATAGGAATAGAAAATTTACCATGATATACCAAAATGCTAATTTCCCCAATTTAAATACAAATACTGTGTAGAAATGGTAATTTTACTGTGGGGGTAGTGCTGGTCTGTGCGTGTAGTCATGTCAGAATATGAATCATGTAATACATCTAACCTATTATTGAGTAGCTCAAAAAAGTAGCTTTCTTAGTAAAAATCATAATTTAGTTCTTTTGAAAATTATGTAAAAGGGAATTTGTGGCTTTTAATGTTTTTGTTTAAAAACACAACTACAATAAATCCCTGTTAGCATGAATCTCAAGGGGCCGAGAAATCAAGATTTCATATTAATTGGAGACTCAGATTTTATTTTTGGAGTAATGTTTATCTACACATTAACCATTTACAGTATGGTAAACACCCAACTATCTCACATTCAATTAATCCGAAAGCTCAAGTAACCGGGATATTTTAGAATTTTAGAAGAATATTTCCTTCTGAAAAATTTAGTAAATGAGAGATTTAAACTACCATTGAGCTCATAATACTATTGACATTTGTACCTTGTTGCCAAACAGTGTAATTCAATAATGGATAAGTTTGTAATAATGGTATGCTTGATGTCACAGCACAATCATAAAAGGCTCGTTTTGGTTTAAGATAAACACAGTTAATTCGTATAAAGGAGGCTCTGAGTTCTGTCTCGCATTAAAAAAAAAAAAAAAAAAAAAAAAGATTCATGTTGGGGACAGCAGAAAATGGAGTATTTTCAAAGTTACAAGATCCGAAGATAAAAAAAAAAGAACTGGAAAGAAGAATGGACTTTAAAAACTTTATCTGGTTAACAATAGCAATGTTATATGAAAAATTATAAGAAGCAATTTAAGTTTTTTATCTTCTATATCTGTAATTTGTATCTCTTTATTATCTAATTAAATGAAGAATGATTTGTTCATTTAAACTTCTGCCGGAATGATTGGCAACATCTTTGCCAAATTTTACGCTCTGCGGTATTCCATAATCGAATCAGATGTTTCACTTGAAGCATATGAAATGCATCAGTCTCTAAGACCTTCTCATAACTGCAAAAGCTTTGATCCAAAAGCTGAAGATGACTTGTTGCATTTGGGGAGAAAAATTGATCCTTTACATTGGTTAAGATCATGTATGTTATGGGCTGCACACCTGCCTAATAGCACAAGAACACACCTTTTCTGAGCCACTATTGAACTATTAAAATAAAGAAGCCACGTATAAAATGATGAGCTGCCAATCCAAGCTTCCTTATGGTGAGAGTAGATGTAAGATAAAGAACTGTTTATGTTCATAAAACAGTGTGGTTTTTTGGACTTACTGATCACCCAAGGATGGTGTTTATCACTGCTGACATTACACACTAGGACAGCTTCTAAACTTTGTTTATTGTGTGCCCAACTGTGGCATTTTTCATTTTTATTCTCAGGGTATGACATGGGAAAAAATTGTTAATAAAATCTGTATTGTAGACATCACATTAGGCATACTTTACTCTCATTTGGTCATATTCTTGCAACCAGTTATTTGCTCCTTTTTCATCAACTTTATTTGCTTCACCACAAATCACTAATTATAAAGTTGAGTGTCTGTTTTGGAAACAATATGGCCAATTAACGGAACAAAGAAATCGTGAATGTCTAAATTTTTTTGGAATCTTGTCTGCTTTTGATTGAATTAGAGGTCTATTTAAAGGTTCATTAGAAGCATGCATATGATAGAGCCATTCTTAAAGTAAAGTTTCAACATCTTCATACCTAGCATTGTGAAGTCACTTAGAGTTGTTCCTGGAACATGATGCAGTAGCATTAAATTTTTTTAACATCTTTAAGTATTGTGGAGAAGGTAGATATGGCACTTAATTGTACTTTACTTCAGTGCACCACAGTCTTCATCATCTAGGATTTTTAGTATTATTTACAGATCTATGCCAGTCTTCTGCCTCTTGGCCATGAATCACTCTCTTCCAGCTTGCAGTTTAATGTTAGTTGTCATGTCCTGAAAACTACCAGAGTGCCATCTGCAGGTCTGTAGGCATGTTGATGTTTACTGAAAATTCATATATAACTAAACTGTAGTCCAACCAATCTGTGTAAATATTTTATTGTAAATATAATTCATTTAAATTTTAACTGGGATTGTCGAGCAATGTTACTCATGCTGTCTGTTTTTTAAAGATTACAGTGTATTCTGTGAGGTTTTCAATTTAACGAGACAGAACATTTCTGAATACAGCCCTAGCTGGAAAACAACAGGAAAAAGATATCAAAATCTTTGAAAGTTCGTGTTAAATCATAAAATCAATGCAAGTGAATAAAAAACAGTTCATAATTCTCGCTAACTGAAATTCACATTAACTAATAAAACTTCTTATAAGATCATATACGTTGTTGCTGGGACCAAAATTTTATTCACATAAACTGAGTTTTTCCTTAAGCGAGTTAATGTTAGAGGGGATTTACTGTAAAAATGTTTTTTAAATTTATCTTTTGTAATCAAAAGCAAAAAAATGCATTATATGCTAAGTTTATTTTTCATCGTAAAGTATGAATATAGCATATGTAGTTTTATTGGATGTAGTGTAAAGGAAAGTAAGTGTATTTTTTTATTACATTTTGATGACACATATTTGGTTTGGGCATACAGTGTCTTCAATTGTGAAGTTGATTAATGATTAGTAAAACATTAAATTTATTATGTAATGGTGATTTCTTTTTGTTGTTACTAAATAGGAATTCATATAGACATAGTTATAGTAAAGTGTGCTTGAACATTTTCACAGATGATGTGTTTTGAGACTTTGGAACTTCTGAAATGAAGTTAGGCATGCAATAAAAATGCATTAAATGGTGCTATTTAGTTTAAATATTGTGAAATAATGTTTTAGACTAGATTATTTTATTGAAGCAAAGCATTTGAGGACTGTATGTGTAGGGATATGAATATCTTCACCTACACAGGAACTTTGTAAGGAAAATGTTTATGTTTTGTTTCATTCATGTATTCATGTTTTGTTTCATATGGCAGAGACCTTGTTTAAGCAGTGCATTCAATCTTCAGGATGAGTTGGATGTGTTCCATGTCTTTAGCCACTTTGCACTCATAATACTTTAAAGGAATTTCGGATGCAATATGTATTTAATATCATTAAGTTTTCAGAATCTGTAATAATGTTTTTCTTTGCTTATTTGATTATCATATTGAGCGAAACATTTTTTGTTAGCAGCATGTGAAAATTAGCATTTTTGAACTATTAATTTTTTACTATTATGTGCTTACAATCCTTCAGTAATAAAATAATTATTTCTTAAATTATTTAAAGTTAGTGTATTATTAACAGTATGGCAAGAAGTATATATTATTTGTAAGTAAAACTGTAGCTGCTGTAAATGTAAAAATAACGAGTGTCTTTCCCCTTCATTATTTGTAAATCGGAACATAATGTTAAGACTTGTAGTTAAAATAATTACATTATATAAAACTATGATTTTGTCTTTTATATGCTTAAACTTTTCCTGATATGAGTGAAAAAAATTATTTCTATATCCCTATTTCATAAGGAAAAATATATTAATTTACATTATTATTACTTCTGTATTATGCTGGAATTATTTTATGAATTGAGATGAAAACAGAAATAAATTATATATCTAATAGATTTAACTGCTTTATTTTTTAAACAATCATTTTAAACAAATAATGAATTAAAAGCAGAATATAATACAAAAATAATTTTGGGATTGAGAATACTAGTCTGATCAAGTAAGCAAAATTTAACTATCATATTGTCACTGTAATATGTATGTATGCCAAGAAAATGTATCTGTAAGATAAAGACATTTTGAAATAAGAAGAGTAGATAGTATTCAGTTAACATAAAAACTGATGAAATGTAATTCTTCAAAAACTGTCTTAAATTAATTTTAAAATAAGCACAGAAAAAGTCTTTTTCTTTTCTTTATTTAAGATTATTTCTTTCAGTATTACAGTCCTTAAAAATTGTAATAAAATGTATTAAACATGTTACTTTCTCTCTCTCTGTAGATGTGAAGATGTCAATAACCAGACAAAAGATCTTAGGCTTATATAGAGAATTATTAAAATATGGAAAGAATTTGAAGTATACTGATAAAGCATATTTTTTAAACCGTGTGAAAACAGAATTTAATGAACATAAGAATCTTCAAAGTACAGAAGAAATAAATTTTCAGTTTAAAGTATGTGGAGGATTTTTTTTTTTTTTTTTAAAGAATTATATACTTAGTTTAGAGTCAATAAATTTGTGGACCTTAACACTGATGACATAGTCAAGGTATTTATTAATAATTATCTTATTAAGTTATGAAGAAAACACATAAGATATCTTCATAACTGAAATTTAATATTCACTTTATTTTTGGCTGATCAGTTATGCAAATTTTTATCCAAACTATCCCTATCTTCCATGAAATCTATATGGCAGTGAATGGCTTCTTTTCTGAGTTGCTGACTTATCTAACTTTTGACAAAGTTTGATTCTTTCACTCTGCTCATACTGTGACATGATTGATTTAACTACGACTCCTGATAACATACTAGAATAAATCAAACATTAGTACAGTTATAGACTAATGGCTTGTAAATAACCAATAAACATGTGGTTGCACATGCATGTAAACTGAATTTTGAGATACAATGAGTAATGTTGTTACTCAGCTGTCATGAAATTATTGACTCTAATACACGTAAAAACTTATGTAATAAATAATAAATATTTATAATAAATGTATTCATTGCATAAATACATTTCAAACAGAATTTTTTGAATGACATATAGTAGTGGCAAATATTTGGTCATTGGTGATTTAGCAAATATATTTTAATTTCATTAAATTTCTTACCTTCTAAAATGTATAGTTCAGTGTTTTTTATAGTAGATATCATTAAGCGTGGTCATGACAGCTAAGTTAAATAACCTAATTTTTTTCTTCTTTCCCCCTTCCCTCCCACAAAGGGGGAAAATATCTTTAGGAGAAAAAAATGAAGTTCTGGCTAAACTTTAATTATTTCTATAAATCATTTTAATTATAGATAGATGTGTAAAAGTATTATTTAAATAGTAAAATGTACTATTTTTATTGTTACTTATTTATGTTATTTATAAATATTTGTCTGAATTCGGAAGAAAAACAAGAATGTAAAGAAATGAGAAGCATCATGTCATTAAATTATCACAGTAACAGGTGGGCATTTGTAAGATGCAGGTTCAATATGCATACATCATCATTTTTAAAGGACTTACATCTGACTCTCTCGGCAATGCATGCACTCGTAAACACAAATACACAAATAATAAATCATCATTACCTCAGGAAATTTTTAGAAAGTTCTCCAATGCCTGAGGCCAACATTTTATAATTTGGATCAAAGCCCCAAAGCACAAGGGAAGCAAACAGGCTGTCATTAGCCAAGGAGGCAGCGCAGGGAATCAATGCCATGAAAATAAGCATTCCCTGGCCAGCTTCTTACCTGAAACTAAAACTACAAATCACAACTGAAGAATTCTGGCAACAATGGTGTCACGCTGCAAATACAGGCAGTATAGAATTTACAACCTCTTCCCCAAAGTTGACTCTCTTCCCATCCATTTCTCCAGACATATCACGTGGTTTATCATGGGGCACGGCCTCTTTCCCATGTGCCTCTATGCAAGAAATCTCTCCTCATCAGACTCCTGTGCATGTAGTGAAAAGAGTCACCCCGAACATTATCTATTTTCTTTCCTGTTTACAGATTCCCTTCATCTAAAGAAGCCGAATTTAAAAGAGGATTTATTCCTTCTAAGATATGCAGCCTAGAACAAGTACCTGAGGAATAAAATTACGAAGGTTATTGAATCTTTGGCTGCTAGAAGTCGAGAGCTATGTAGTGTAAATTAGCTTTCAAAGAAATGCTCCAGCAACAGCGAAGCAAAGTAATTAAAAGCAGATATAATGTATACGGGTGTACCTTTACAGGAAAGAAATAAGCACTGCAAACCATATGAAGCACAATATAGGACACTCACATGTAGGGTAAGGAGCTACTACCTATTTATTTAGGGTAAGTAATAGATGACCCCCCTACATTTTTATGTAACATAAGGTAACATCACCTGAAAAGTGAACACATATAATACATTGCCAGCACTGAGTTGGTAAAGTATTAACAATGTAATTTATCATGAAATGTAATTCTTGTAAACTAATTATTATAAAAACACACGAAATTGCACTCAATGAACTGACTAAAATACGTTGGCAATTTATCAGCATATTTATGCAGAAATATCTAAATGAACGTAGTATGCATAACTATGCAGATGAAGCTATTTTTTTCTTCTGTTTTCAAACTTATTTATTTATGTCCTTTTTATTATTATTTTATATTCTTTTCTAATTTTGACTGCTGATTGTAAATAATGATGTAAACAAGTCATAATTGTAAACATGATCTATAAACTAGAAATAAGTTGATTCTGGACACAGTAATTTTTAATGTCACGATCAATCTTTACATGTGAATAACAATGTACCACTAAATATACTGAAAATCAGTTATCTCAAAAACATACATAACAGCTCATTATGAATCATCAAAATTGAGTTGCTAAAATTTCAGCACAACTATACAACACTACTTAAATGTAAGCTTTGTAAACAATTTTATAGTTGTAACTTAATTCTGATATTAAACACATGTGAACGGATCATGTTTTCAAAAATGATTTGTAACATGGCAACATCTCGTCTGTTTCTACTGCAAAATATTAATGTCCTAAAACATGATGCCTGTACCCTCTACAATAGATAACATCTTGAAACATGCATCTGTAGGACTATGCATATTGCAATGTATATCATGTATACTTGATCCCTTTTACTTGAGCTAATTTAATGCTGAAAGGTAGGAGGGTTGTTGATGCTGCCAGCAGTGGCAGAACTTTTAGAACAGGCTAACTGCATATATATTTTCATAGTTTTCTGAATGTGTAATATAGAAACAATGCATTTTCTCTTAGAGAGCCTTTTATGATGATGGCGTACTTTTATTGAGAGTCCTTGAAGTCTTTGGCTGCAATTAATAATCAGTCAACAGCCAAATCAAAATCTGATTCATTTATGGCATGGAGATAATTAAATATAAATCATTTTGAAATTTTAGACTAAAAAAACAAGCATCTAAGATTTTAATTTAGGGCTCATTCATGGAAATATTAGATTTCATGGTAAAAGAGATGCATTCTAGCTTTAAGAATTAGCAAAATTCAGCCTTTGGTTAGCATTAATTTCAGTGTAAGGGTATTTCAAAAGATAAAGTGACACTTTCTCTGATAAATGCGGTGCCAATATTTTGCATGTTTTGCCAGTATTTTGCATGCAATTACTCTGATCTCATACAGAAATTTAATGGTTTTTCTCATAGAAAAATTCCATAATTTGAAATATAAAAGTTTATTATTTGTTTTCTTTATAAAATATGTAATTAAGCAAAATTCACTTAAGTAAGATTTTACTATATATATATATATTCTTCAAAAACTGAACTTGGAATTAAAAATTCATTTGATATAATTAGTTTTTTTTTTTTATTATCATGACATATTTTTACAATTCATTTGCTATAATTCATTTCAAGTATAAAATTTTATTACTTTGCCTGTTTTTACATCTTTATGTTTGATTGCTTTTATATCAGATATGATTAGCAAAATGCATAATTGTATTCTCTAATTAATATATTAAACAAGGGGGCTGACTTTCTTCACATTAAATTAAATTACTGCCATCAACAACTTGATAAACAGCTTTTGTGATTTTCAGGTTCATTAAACTTCTAGGATGTTTGATTTCCTGTAAATATTCCTTTTTTTGGAATAGCTATTTCTTGAAAATTTTATTATATACAGATAACCGTGACAATTTTTCATGCACTACTAAACTTCCTTATTTATCACAATGCACAGAAACCTAAAATAACCTTAAAAATAACCTTGGTTGTCCCTCCTCTTGTCTCTTGCTTCCTCCTGTGTGCTATTCAAGCATTTCTTTATTATGTTTTTTATGTCCCCCTGTTTTATATCTGATGAATCAGAGTAACTGCCAGAAGCTTTCTGTTCAATCCATTAAATCTATGAAATAATACAACATTTTGTATTTTTTTACTCAACACATATTAAATATTTCTTTGGCATGAATATATCTGGTTGTAACAAAAGTTTTCTGCCAAAACGTTCTTAAAAAAAATTAGGAAAAAAAAAAAAAAAAAAAAAAAAACCACCCACGAAAGCAGTACCTTTAGTATGGGTAGTAATCACCATGCAAATCTATGATTTTTTGCCAACGTTTTGATAGTTTTTCAAAGCCTTTGACCCCGAAATTAAGTGGCCACAAGTCCCAAAACAGATCAACCTGTGAAAAAAAGGTAGAAGTCCAAAGGAGCGATGTCGGGGCTATATGGTGGGTGGGGCAAAAGATCCCACTCGAGTCCGTACAGAGGCCAGTCAGTAAATCGTGATAGCAATGTCAGTACGGAATAGCACCTCACTGTACACCTTACTGTCAAGGGTTTTACGTTTTTTTAGATACTCTTTGTAGATAATATCACAGCAATTCCACCAGATACAAAGCATGATCATTTTGTTAGTCAAATTACGCTTTGCGATGCTGCTAATGGACACTGACTAACCCCCTTTTTGGCCTGTGCTGCTGAAATAAATCCACTTTTCATCACAAGTGATGATTTGGTCCAGAATTTTGTCCTTGTGTTGATATTTAAGCAGATTAATGCAGGCCCGAATACGTCTGTACTTATTTGCTATAGTCAGCTCATGTGGCACCTAGCCATTGAACTTGTACGTCAAGTTTAAACAATACATAATGTGACTAATGGACAAGGCACTAATGCCAAACTCTTTAGCAAGCTTTCAGGTGATTGCATACTGATCTTCTTCCACAAATTCTCACAGGTGAGCCTGATTAACATCAGTATGCCGGCTAGAGCACTCTGCTTCTTGAATGTCATAGTCCTTGTTCTTGAACTTTTGGAACCAAACCTGCATAGTGTCATATGATACAACATTAGTACCTAAAGCCGTACACATGATTTGGTGATATGCTGTAGCTGATTTTTTGCAACAAAAATGGAATTAAATGATAATTCTAATCTGGTAGTGTGATGGTTCTATTTCAGACACTTTAATGATAATATTTTTTACAGATTACACAATACAGTGTTCTAAAGCAAGTCTCTTTCTTTCAAATGCCAAAAATCATTTGACAAAAATTAAACATGCCAACGTGAACTGTTTCTGCAGAAGATATTTGCGATGTTAAGAAATGTTTTTTTTTTTTTTAAACCCGATATAATAATGTGAAAGCATTATGGCATATACTTTGTCAAATCACACACAGAGAGACAGAAAAGATACGAGCATTTTGATATTGTATAATGGAAAATTTTAATGTTTTGAATTATTTGCAAATGCAGGAATGTTAAGCATATTTTAGTTATTTAATATTAGGAGATTATATTCAATCTGTTTCAAATTCAAAAATATGTATTTTATTTTTACTTTTATCACCAATTAAAACTAGAAAGCTCATTGCTCAATAGTTATTTTTATGTTTGATTCTGTTTATTTGAATATTGATTAAATTTTTATGACACTGAAAGCTAAGCAAAGGCAAGTAATGATACTGACAATAAGCAAAAAATAAGAATAAATTATATATTTCCTAATTTTTACTAATTTTCAAGCAAATTTGTGAATTATTTAAGTCTTTTTCTTATAAAAGTTTGCAAAAATTATTTCATTCTTATCCACTCTATTCCTTTGTGTTTTTGCCCCATTCATTGGTTTGGATCCCAATGAATGGGACAATGAAATAAAAGAAAGAAACTGACTCATATTCACAATACGCAAAGGGAAAATCACAAAATCGTAAGGCACTCACCCCATTCATTGGTTTGGATCCCAATGAATGGGGTGAGAGCCTTACGATTTTGTGATTTTCCCATTGCATATTGTGAATATGAGTCAGTTTCTTTCAGAATGTTCTTTATCTTCTTAAGCAGATAGCCCTCTTTCTTTATCATAAGTAGTTAAACAACCCGTACATTTTAAAGGTTAAATATCGAAACACTGTGATTCTGCTTAATTTGAGGGGGTATACTTGAAGTTCAGTTACTTCTTTTAATGGTATTTACTAATTTATGTATTTCTTACATTCACAATGATGTCCTAATTACAGAATATTAATTTTTTGTTATTCCATTGCATTAGAAATTGAGCTTAGATTAAAATATCTTATACAAAGAAATTTAAAGGTAAGGAAAAAAATATTAAGCTTGCTTGAAAGAAATTTTCTATTCTCATCATATAAAATGCATTCAAAGGTCATATTAAATTGAAATTTATTTTCATTGCATTATACTTTGCAATCATATTATTTCAATAAATATTATATTAAAAATAGTTTAAAATTTTGTGGTAAAAGCTATCGTGAAATTTTTGCTGATAGTTTCAAGTTTGTTGGTAGATTTATTTTGTTTATTCTCATATTAAGGAGTGGCAGTATTGTAAGGATTTTTAGTACTTATCTCAATGATTTTTTTATGTGTAATGTGCATAATTGATATTATTTCTATATATGCTTATTTTATTTTATTTTTAGAGAGGAAAAAATTTCTTAAAGAATAAAAGATTGCTTTGAAGATAATAACATATTCTTATGACTTTTCTTTTAAAACTACCAATGAACATCACAAAATCTCCACTTTCTGTGTTTTTAAATACTTTTAAATACAGAAGTACCATAGATTATTCAAAATTTCCTGTTTTAAATGAAAAGGAGATAGATGAACAGTTCATTCAAGGACATGGCCCTGGAGGTTCAAATGTAAACAAATCTTCAAATTGTGTTCTTTTGAAACATATACCTACAGGTGAGTTTGAGTTTAGGAATAAGGTATTATTGTTTTAATTCTAGCTTGTTATTGTACAAGATCTATTCAAAAAGTATCCTCTTGTAGCTCGGGGGGGGGATTACCCATCTGAGATTATCAAATCCGTGTTCCTTTTCAAAATGTACTCTGGGAATGCACATACTTTTTCAAATAATATCTTTTTTCTGGAAGCTCTGCTGAAAAATGGAGTACAGGTTGGCCATTGCGTTTTGCAATTTGTTTTCTCTGAACTCAAATGTAGTCTCTTCCAGAGTTATTTTAACCATTAAAAAAAGCTTGATTAAAGGAAATGTATTTTCTTTTCATATAGAACATATTTAAAAGTCTCATTTAAATATATTGTATTATGTAATGATATTGTTGGGGGAACAGCAGAAATCAGAAGGATACTTTTCAGGTGAGTAGAAACCTAACAAATCACAGCAATGCCATTTTGCCCAACTTGGAATCGCATCAAGGAATAGTTGGAAGTTTTGTTTCAGCATTAATTAATTATTTCTTTAATTCTGCAGTAAGTGATGTTCCCTTGCACCATGTGTACCTTTTATTTACGTAATTTATAATAAGAATTGTTTGGTTTACACCTTCGAATTACTAGCCTAAAGCTTCATTACTGAACTCTCTGTGTAATCATAGAAGATTCAAACTTTTCTGAAGAGCCTGAAGTGGCCGTTGATGCTGTCAATTTATAACATAGTGTCCCTCCCATATGAAATGCAGCATCACATAGTAATTACTTATCAGTAACAGTAATAATTAATATCAGTACTACATTAATACTATAATAACAGGAATGATCATAGAATTGTAAATGAAAATTCTATGATTATTCAGTTTTGAAACTATCCTATTATATCAGCAGATAGTCTTCTGAAAATTCCATTACAGAAAGTTGTACCAATCTTTTCATTTTACACTATACATTCATATCTTACCATTGCTTCTGTATACAGCTCCGTAATCCTACCTAAGTTCCCACCTTATTATCTCTTATTAAAATTACATCATTCATTTTTAATGTCTGTTGTGATGTTTGCAGATTTTTAATGTTTATAAAATATTCCAAAAAATGAAGAATGAAACGTGACTTAATTCTTCTGTGTAACTGTATACAAATTTGATTGTCTGTTATTGAGTTTATCACTGTTTCTATCTCTGTTAAAATAGTTCTCAGTTCTTCATTAAAGAGAGATGGATTCTTAATTATTTTCTTAAGGTTCTTTTATATTTTATCACTATATATATTCATAGAAGCTACCCTACCATGCTTCCCTTTCAGTGATGAATTTCCAGTGAATTCCAGCTTTCCCAAAAAATTCACTAACTTCATGGTGGTTAATTTTTTTTCCCATATTTTCTTTCTAACAGCTATCCTGTTAGATACAAATGGTTTTCAGTCTCTTGCTATTTCATTTTCCAGCATGATATAATGGAAGAGTAAGTCCAAAGTAAAGTATTGCTTACTTTGAATACATACATTCAAATTTTCTTTATTAGTATGCATTTATCTAATATCTGCATTTTAAAAATAATTGTTATCACTGTCTATTATTTTAATTAAAGGTATATTCTCTATACTCCATTTCATTCTTTAAAAAATGTCTCCTCCTCTTTTTTTTCCTCTTTGGCATTATGAAATTTGTTAAATTCTAAAGGCTAAGAATTCAAAGAATTGGTAATTTTAAAATTAGAAAAAGTAATATTCCATAAATGCTTAACTTAGTGTCAAGGAAAGTTAAAGCATGTATTTCAATGTTAATGTGGTTGTAAATTCTTAATGATATTATGTCTTTTGAATATTTGCATAATGTCAGATTCGGCAACATAATCATATAGCTTTCTATCTCTAATTCTTTTTTACCAAGGTGAAATTCTAATATCTCAATTGCTTTTTTATAGTTTTTTGGAGTAAGTGATAGTCCTGCAGTGGAGGTATCAATATCATCTACAAAATATATTTTCTCAAAATCATTTAGAGATTGATTATTTTGAATTGGGTCCAAGAATTTGGCCATTTGTGCAAGCCACCATCAAATTTTTCATTGACGGAATTTAGAAGTTTAACTTGAAGAATTCAAAGCTACAGACATGTTCTTTTCTAACTGACTTGCATATGAAATAGCCTCTTCTATTACTTTATTTAATGTTAACAAATCTTGTTTTTTATGCATTAATACTGAAAACAATTCTATCATTTCAAAGCAATAATGGTTAGTTGTTTCTAATTTCTTAACAGTGTTTGTGAGAGCTGTTCTAACTGCCATGCACTTCTTTTTCTATAGTCTACCCATGATCATTGAAGAAATTTCACTTATCTCTCTTTCTTATTTCCTATCTGCCAATGTCCTAGTATTATGGGTGTTCTTGCACAAAAGTGCTATAACATTATTTTGACATGGATTTCGTATTCCTTTAACACTGGATTTTCAATACCACTAATTAACATTACTGCATTTTCAATATACCACTAATTAACAGTGGGTAGTCATTTTGCCTGCAGTTTAATTAATGGAAAATATCTGACATCATACAGTTTTTTTAAAAAATAAAATATGTTATAATTTAGTTTATTAAATTTATCTTGCTACAAGGTTAAAATTTTTATTTCATAGAATTACATGGTAACAATTTCTCTTTTACAGCATAAATCATTAATATTAATGTTTAAAATTTTATGCATGACAGACTGTGACAACATAATTCTTTTATTCCATAATATTTTTATTAATTCAAAGAAGTAAAGTAATTTTCCTATTAGTAGCAATATTTCTTCCAGTGTTTTAAAAAGGCTCAACCAACCTGTAAACAGCATCTTCGGCAACAATATCTTCAACTCATCTGCTTTCATCCTTTCGCAAATAAAGATATTCATTTAGGAAGTATTTTGTTTTTACATCCATTTAAGGCTAACATTTTATACTGAATAAAGTGGCATCTTTATTCAGTATTTTATGCTGATTTTTTCGTATTTATTATTGTACAAACAATTGTTTATCAGTTGTAATATTTTTTCCTGCTTTGTAATATAATACATAAACAATTCTTCACAAAGGTAACCCATTCCTCTGAAACAGGTGCAAATGGATAATTTTAAAATCTTTGCTTTAAATTGCCTTTGTCTTAATCTTTACTGTGCTAAAAAGTTTACTTCAAGTCAAAGTGCAAATATTTCATTATGTCCAAGAATCTGTCTCTAAGCATTTTTACACTAAAGAATTTTGGGGTTCAGGATTTGGATCATAAACTCAAACAAAAAGTCTTTTAACAACCTTAGTGCCACAAGCATATAATAGAGCAATAAAAGCTTCCAGCTCATCGAGTGTGTTCCAGTTTAGATTTACAGACTTTTGATATGACTCAGCTTCAATGCATTATTGTGTGTGATGCAATATATTTTCTTTGATAAAAAGTCTCCTTGCATTACTTGATCACTTTTAATTAATTATTTTTCACTTAGCAGAAGGTCACCTGCTTCTGACAAAAACATTTTAAAGAGGAAGTCTTCCAAGTAAATTTGTAGAAGTAATTTCCTTTCTCTATGTGGTAGGAACATTTGCTATTTCTTCATTTTGAAAACATGTAATTTGCCTTCATTTTGTTCCACACTTTTGTTGTCTTTTTTTGGAGCACGAATACTTCTTTATTCTAATAACAATCTTTGTGTTGTGACTACTGGGCCGTTGACAAAAGCTTGTCGAACTTTCTTGTTTCTATCATTCTATAATTTGGCAAATTCCTAACAATGTTTGTTAGTTAAGCATTTAGCAGAAACTAGGACCAAACCCATTAGTGACTCAGTTGTCTCATTGGCAAGAACGTTTTCAGCAATGGGTATTGATATTATACCTGAAAGGAGAGGGAAAGAAAATGCATACACAATCATGCCTTATTTAGGCATTAAATCTAATCCGTTGGTTTCAAATTAGCAATTAGCTTTCCCTAACCATCATATTTTCCATAATAGAATTTTGCAGTAAATGGAAATCTGACTATTCATTATAATACTTTAGTTGCAGGCAGACTTTGAATGACTGATACTTACTTTAAGGGGAGGAAAATTCATGCATGCGTACGAAATTGCTCACTGAAAGCCACTGCAGATAATAAGCTTGGAAATCTGACTATTCATTATAATACTTTAGTGGCAGGCAGACTTTGAATGACTGATACTTACTTTAAGGGGAGGAAAATTCATGCATGCGTATGAAATTGCTCACTGAAGGCCACTGCAGATAGCAGAGAAAAATTGGCTCTGGTACTTTTTAATAGATCTTGTATTTATAATGTCATGTTTTGTTCCAGTCTATGTTCTTTGTTGTTATTCATGAAATATTTATTTTTTTATATTATTCATTAAATACCTTTGTTTACTTATTTTTCGTAGAATCGTATAGCTTGGATTTTGGTATGTGTTAAAAATTTTAAAATTGCTGTCTTTCCTTATTATCCTCTTTTTGTGATTTAGATGTAAGTTAGAAACAGCAAGGGAGGGAAAAATCAAAGTTTACTAGAGTTGAATATGTAAATATGGAAATTAATTCTACTATATTTATGAAATATTTCTTTTCTGTTTACAGAATGGTCAGACACTTGCCGCTTGATATATTTGTTCAGAATGGCTGCACCCATTCATTATTTGTTTAGCCCTGCCATCATCAAGAGCATTTTCTAGGGTGCACCACAGATGATGTTTAATTACATCTATGAAAATTAGGGGCAGGACACATACAAACAACCAAACCTTACATTGGGTTTGAACCTACATCTTGAAGTTCAGATCAGCAGTCAGCCCTGCTAATGCCTAAACTGTTCAAGGTGACATTTAGCCAGAATTTAATCTAAATTCTGTCTACTAATATACACATTATTTATTTAAGGTTGATTATTAGCACGACATTCACAATTAATTAGTTATTTAACATATGACGTTCACATATCCATATTAAACTAAAGGGCCAGGTCCCCCCTCCCCAAGAAGCCATTAAACTCTTGTAGAGCATGTTTTCAAAAGAAGTAAAAGATTATTTTATTTAATGGTTTTAAATTTTAAACAAGATTAACTGAAGTGTTATAAATATGCTAGAGGACTAAAACTTGTAGTATAAGATTTAGTTTGCAAAATAGATGTATTTGTTTCTATTAAAAACTTTCACGTATTTGATTTTCTAAAAAATATGCATGAAATTTTATTTTATAACTACTAAATTTTTGCATTTCATAGGTATAGTAGTCAAATGCCATGAATCAAGGCTTTTGCAAAGAAATCAAGAAATTGCAAGAGAAATGCTTTGTAGAAAATTAGATGAATTTTTAAATGGAGATATGAGTGTTTCAGCCCAAAAAAAACGCATTGAAAAACAGAAATTTTTAACAAAACAGAAGAAGAATGAAAAATTGAGAGAGTTAAAAAAGAAATTTTCAAGTAGTAATGTTGAAGAATAATTTATGTAGTTAAAAAGATATTATCCTTTTGTAATAAACACTATCATTATACATTTTATTTGGTACATTTGCTTTAAGAAAGCTGAACATAAGCTTGAAAAATATAAAACATACTTTTTAATTAATTATAATTCAAATGTGAGAGAAAAATAGAATATGCAGATTTATAGGGGAAAAAGAGAGATTATGTTTGGGGGTGAAGTTGCAATATAATTTTTAAAGAGAATTTTCAACAAGTTGTTGGAATATATGAAAGCTGCTTATTTAGAGTGAAATTTCAGACATGCTGTAAATCAAGCTAAAACTGTAACAAGTGTGATAAGCCTAGCTAGCTAATAAATAAGATTCAACATAGTTTATTTTAATGTAAGTATTTTGTTAGTCTTTTTAATTTAAATTAATTATCTAACATTTGCAAGTTTAATTTCTGTCACATACATTAAACATAGTGAGCCAATAACTTAACATTTTTTATATAATAAAGGATAGGTTAAGGAAAGTAATTTTGTTATTGAGGTTAGGCATACAAAGAAAAACTTGAAGGGGGTGGAAACGAAATTATGATCCAAGTGAAATATTAATTTAATTAACAGAATACATTTGGATATACTGCAATTATATTACCTATAAGATTACATTTTCAAAGCTTAAATTTTTAATTCCATGCTAGATCATATTACAGAAATAATAAATTTAGTTTGATTTGAATTAGAACTGGTAATGCCTGTTAAATGTAATTACAATAATGATTTATATGGCTTAAATTTTATTATGTAACAAAATCTTACAGGTATGGAGGAGTACAGGTTTTAGTAGAAATAAAAACATTGAATATCTGTTCATTTTTAAAGAATCCTTTATTGAAAAATTACTTCATTTAATACAATATAAATTCGTTAATTCTAGGTATCTCCTTTGCAACATTTTGGTAGATTTTTAAAAGGAATTTTGAGATATTGAGAAACTTTTATACTTCCCCTCCTTGAAAATTATAAAAGCAAATATATAAAAATGCATTGTATCGTTGTTCTGCACTGAAACAAACTCTTTTCCCTCCCATAACTGTCTTGTAATATATGGTGGTTGGTGGAGACTGACAGTAAAAAATATACCTAGGTTCAAATCCTGGATAAGGTACAGATTTTTTGTTCGTAGTCATGTAGTAAGGGCACTCGAAATCTGTTGATCTGAAAGTCCTCTTGAGAGGTTGTTAGTAGGATACAAAATCCTTGGATTTCCACCTTGGTATGCTGTTGGTCAGTATGTGATAAAGCCAATTTGGATGCCATTTTTCACTCATACATCAGTCACAAGAGAAATAAAGAATTGTATTAAAACATTACTTAATTTGAGTATTAATTTTGTGGAATAAAAAATCAGATATAGATATTAAGCTGTTCGGACAGTCTGCATTTTACATAAATTATAAAAAATTCTGCCTTTGCATTTTTTTTTAAATCAAAAAATCCACTTACCTATGAAAATAAAATATGTTGTTTTCTTCTAAAAACATCCAATGCTATGAAGTTAGTAATATAGATTTCATTCTACATTGCCTCTCCTTTTCATATGTGAGTAATATCTTGTTAAAATCATGTTGTGTTTATCTAAAACAGCTATCCAATTTTCAAAAAATTTACAAACAGTAGGGAAGAAAACAGTTTGAATAAAGTGTTGCAATCTAAAATTCTATATGATGAAAAAATTCTTCCATGTAATCTTTATAGTTTTAAGTTTAATGTTTCCGCTGACATTTTGAATATCTTCTACTGTGTCATTTAAAGTGTACATTAAAGATGTATTATGCAGTCTTAATAATAATGCCATCATTACATAATAATAACTTAGTTATTACCAGTCCTTACAAATAAACGTTAGAACACAAGTAAAAATATTTAATATTTTTACAAATTTATATAGAAATTATAATAACCAAGTAAAAATATTTAATATTTTTACTTGGTTATTATAATTTCTATTTCTACTTCATAAGGTAATGTGTTAATTGGTGCATATTTAGACACATGGCAGTGTGTCAGCCAAGTTCGGAACAGATGGAAAAGAAAACAGCGAGACACTGGCTATGTGTATTATGTGTATCTTATCTTACACGAACCATTTTGATGCCCCCATTACTAAAAAACTATTAGACCTAGAAACTTGCAATTTTGTAGGTCTAATAGAGCTTCCTTGAACACCTAGAGTCTCAAATCTACACTTATAGTTATAGAATTATTAAGGTCTGAAAAGTGTCATTTTTATTATTCACTGAATGATTGACTGATTCATAAACCTGGACCACTCCTAAATTACTTAGATACTTGAAATTTGGCATCAGGGTAGATCATTAAGCATAATGAAAGGAAAAAATATAAAACTTCAAAAAACTGCATTATTATCAAGTTTTAAACCAAATAATACTCGTAACAAGCATTTGACATAACCAATAAAGGGCATTCCACCGATCACCAGTTTTCGCACCACTTGGATACTAATCAACTTTGCCAAAAGTGAATAATAAAAACCTGTTTATAGTAGATGAAATAATAGCAGAGAGGTAGAGTGCAGGACCAGATCTTTTTTGGTATTGGTTCGGGTCTAACTACAGAGATAAACTAACAGCAATATTACGAAAAGGATGTAAACAACTTTCAAATGATAAAAGCATTGCCATTCAGTAACTTAAATTTAAGTAATGAAACTGATGCCAGATGCAAATAAAGCTATAGAAAATTTGAAAAAAAAAAAAAAAAAAGAGGAAACTTGAGTCTATACTATAGAAAAAGGTTTGATCATTTATATTGTTTAATAATTAAAAATAGCTAAAATTGTTTACATATTTATGTCCCTTTAAAAATTTAAAAGCTACATTATTATCAAGATTAAACCAAATAATACTCATGGGGAATGTTGAAAATTTAATAATTATTGTTTACAATCAATCAATCAAAGCTACAATCGGTTAACTTTTCAAAAATTAATGATATAACAGCAACATAAATGTGAAAAAGGGGCCAAGTTTGGGAGAAGCGATGTTCGGTGTCACTGACAAAAGAGTTGAGATCTAACAGATGGCAAGTTCCATATCAGTTCCTTTAATTATAGCTGTAGGAATGTACAATGTTCTTCATTTCATTAAAAAAAAAAAAAAAAAAAAAAAAAAAAAAAATTTATTACTTTTTTTGATATCAAATTTCTAACTTGGCAAGATAATTTCCAATTGGCAAAGTCAAATTTTTTTTAGTGTAATTTATTGACAATTAAAACTTGCCAAGTTAGAAATCCAATATCAAAGAAAGTAAAAATTGTTTTTAAAATGAATTGAAGAATGTTGTACATTCCTACAGCTATGATTAAAGGAACTGGCTATGGAGCTTGCCATTCGTTAAATTTCAAATCTTTAGTCGTACAGCAAACCTTGTTTCTTCCAAACTTTGGCCCCCTCTCACATTTATGTTGTTGTTATGATGCAATTAATTATAACAGCTATTTTTGAAATGTTTTCGCTTAAAAATGTCGTTTTGGCTTACAAACAAAGTAATGGGTCATCTGAGAAGTTCTGCAGTTTTTCAAATCAAAATGTATTTTCTTCCAATTATTTTGTTGTTGCTGATAAGAAGCGACCTTGATTGAAACATATGTTTAAATACAGTCTTTTTTTTTTTTTTTTGCTTACATTCTGTTATTCTAGCATGTGTTGCAGCATAATTTCTGTTTCAGTGCAGTACTAAGAATAGAAAACAAAACAAAACAAAAAAACAAACAAACAAACAAACAAACAACAACAAAAAAAAAAAATGTTAGTCAGATGTATTATTTTGTGCTATATATGGGAAACTGCTGTGTCTGATAACACAGTTGAAAGATGGTTCAAGAAGTGCAGAAAATTCAGCCTCAAAGATGATGCTTCCTCTGGAAATTTTTTTTTGTAAACAAGGACCTATAAAAAGAAACTACTGCTGAAAATTCACATTATTCAGTTCAAGAACTATTAGAGAGACTAAATATTCCAAAAAGTGCAGTACCTAATCATTTTAAAAAGATTGGGTATGTAAGCTGCTAGTATGTACGAGTAACACATACCTTAGCAGTGAAGAATAAGCTTGCTCGAATTTGAGCATTTAATTCTTTGCTGAAAAGAAATAAAGAAGCCCCTTTTTTGAAATGACTCATTACTGGAGATGAGAAGTGGATATAGTACTATAATGTTACAAGAAAAGATAATGGGATAAGCAAAAAGAATCTCCTTTAACAACATCAAGAGGGAGCTGCATCCCGAAAAAGTAATGCAGGTATGGCTGGATTGCAAAGGAATAATATATAATGAATTCCTACTCCAAATCAGTAAGTTTGGAAAAATATTGTTCCCAAATGGCAGTTTTAAGAACAAAAATCAAAACAGAATTGTTGAGGTGTTGTGTTTCATCTTAACAATACTCAGCCTCACATTTCAATGAATGTCAAAGTTTAATGAATGCGGGTGGGATGTTTTGTGTCATTCCCACATTCATTAGACTTTGCCTCCTTAGATTTTCATCACTTCAAGGGTCTCTAAATAACAGGAGTTCCTTCTTTGGAGACTGTCAAACAGCACCTCCATAACTTAACAAATAAACCAACTCTTGTAAAAAAGGAATTTTTCAGTTGTCAGACAGATGACAAAAAAGTCATAGAACAAAATGAGGCTTTTTGTGATTCAATTTTTTGTACACTTTTTTTTACCACTTCATTTGTATTTATCATCAAAAACTTATCAGATACCAATATTTTTCAAAAACAAACTGTTACATTTTTAAGGCTGATTTTGAAGTTCACAGGGGTGAGTGCTGCAAAGCAGTATATTTTATATACATTGCTTGAAATTTTAAATATCTTATCATTGTAGTGTGTGAGATAATTTATACTTGAGTACTTAAATTTTATATTAATATGGAAAGTAGAATTACAGTTAAATACTTATATAAAATTACACATTATAAAGACATAGAGATGTTACATAGATATAAATTATACTTTTTATATTCAGATACTAATAATGGTGTATATAATATGAAAATA